GATACTGACCGCCGCCCCGCAGCAGCGGGCGGCGCGGCCGTTGGTCAGGTCCCGCAGCGATGTCCCTGGGCACGATATCGTCCATAATCGCTCTCATTTGCTCAATGCCACGGAACGGTTGCTACAAGCTCAGTAATGAAAGTTGAGAAGTGACTTCTGCTCATGTTCTCTATTGCTCACTGAGTAAGGGCACTTTTGACTTGCACGCTAAGTGGTAAATACTACATTTTCAGTATACAATTCAGGTGAAGGAAGCTGTTACAATGATACTTTTAATCTTTTGATGAAGAACGGAGGCATATGAGGACTGCGGAGTGAATGAGTTTGCAAAAACACACCAAAAATCTTCAAAATACTAGTAGAGAATTATAAGGAGAATAAACTGCAGTGTTACGGGCGCGCGGACTCGACTATGATCGCTGACGAAACTGCTGCTTGCAATCGATAAAGGGGCGTGGCCTTTGGATCCGTTGATCTGCCCGTCACCGTTCCGCTTCGATCGATTAACCTACTTCACTGGAAAATGACAATGCCTTGTACTTACTCGTACGCCAAATGTAGACATGGACAACGGGAAAGAAGAGAAGGGAAAGAATAGATGGAATAAATTGAATTTTCTGGTCGTGCTACATAGCAAATCTACTGTGGTAGACGAAATTGAGCCAGATGTAGAAATTTCGAAACGGGAATTCGGGACTTGCTGAGTGTGAAGAAAGAATTCCCCATAGTTTTATTCTTAGAACTATTCTTCAGGTAGAGGAAAGCACGGGGCGCCATGGCCAAGTGGTTCTGATGCTCGCCGCGGCGCCCATGGAGAGCTCTACCCCAGCTCTGCCCGGCAGGCAAGAACAACACCTTATGAAACGCCCTAGCCAGGCTATCCTCAAGACTGCAGATGCGCTCAACCAGTATTCTACGATGTTGAAGAAGGCCAAAAAACGAACTGCTAGCAGTACCGGGATTCGCACAGTGAAAAAATACTGTGAAGCGGACCACTAAAGTTTGAGAAAAAGGAAAGTGATGTGTGTAGTTCAACACCGGCCATGTCTAACACAACATGCGACACACAATCGAGTGGCCATGGGCGACGAAATCTCGATAGAATGACTTTATATGCTACCGTTTCACACATTCACGACCACCAGCCAACCACAGCTTGGCTGGCCAGAATTCAAATCATAGCATTGGCGCGAACTTCAAAGCTAACATTTCGGTTAACTCCTTCCTCAAAGGCTACACTAAGTATACCATAACATTATTTATCCAGCTGATAGTTCCCTTTATCTAGTAGAAAAAGCGCATGTAGCGCAGTGGCCAGAGGTGCTCTGTGTCGAAGACAAGGTTGAGGTTTGATCTCACGCTCAAGGCTCACATAGCCATCCATCCCTCTGGGGTCTGTAAACTGGTGTCCGACTCGGATGGGAGGATTAACAATACTGACTCGACACAGCAGCGAGCCGTCGCGAGTCATTGCAAAGGCCAGATATGCATTCATTCACTCAAATGGTGTCAGGCGAAGATCAATAAATGGCGCATCCCTCAAGCATTGAGCAACGCAAAGAGTTTAATACTTCGATCCAACCAAAATCTAATGCAAAAGCCAATTCAAATGCTTGGTCCGCGCCTCAAGCGTGTGGTCACTCGTTCGATACAGCGCCTCAAGCTGACCAAGTCCATCTTGCTGGGTCGGGTGAATTGGCACTAGACTAGGCTGAGAGGATGGCAGCACTGACTGCACATCTATAGGTCACCACGAGACGTTGTAAAGGTCAGATGTCTCTCAAGTCACCTAAAACGATGTCGATGAAGTCGAATGTATGGCACATCCGTCAGGGGATGATGAAGTCGAGGTTTCACCCCTATACTATTCCTTCTGAATCTGGTCTGACCTCAGTGGCTGTTCTTTCGTAGCCCATTGAGATGACTATTTGCCGTGCCAAGTGAAGCGATTCCTTCTCCCTTCTCCTCCCAACCACAGCAACTGGACCAAAGCATATTTCACACACACAATGATCGATCTTTCTTGCGAAAGTAGAATATCATCATGAGTAATAAACACTGATCTGAGGTATGGGGTGGAATGCAAAACATTCGACTTTAGCCAAAAGTTGAACCCGCGTTTCCCCCATACTGAAAGCACGTGCCATCACCTTCCCACAGAGATCACCGCTGTGCTATCACTTGTTCTTCGATATATCCTATCGCAGCTATAAGCAAGCAACTTTCAAGGTGCTTTGTCGGGTTTCCACATATCGACATCAAACCAGTAAAGCTCACAGATACTTGAAATGATAATCAACTTCGTCTAATTATATTTACTTATCTAACTGGGTTTGATGCTGAAATGTACTCACCGGACTAAACCCGTTAAGGGCTGGCTTCTAACAACTACGATATGATATATCGAAGAAGGAGTGGTAGCAAAGCGGTGGCATCTGTGGCGTAGTGGTAGCAGGGGCCCTGGATAAAAATGAAACGCGAGTTCAAATTTCACCCAATATCTTATGTTTTGCATACGCTTCAGCACTCTCAGCTGTGCATTTATAATGTGATAATACACCAATTAAAATAAAAAATCCGAACAGTATATTATGAAGGTTAAGAGTCTCGTCAATAAAAGAGAATTCTGCAAAAATGTATGTGACCGATAGGAACACTGATAATAGACAAGAGTCACAGTAGCTACTGATTAACGTTGCGGTATAGATAAGGTAAATAAGCTCTATTACGGAATTTTCGGCTGTTTTTGATCTCTTACACATTTCATGTTCACGTATAGCGCTTTTTTCAATGATGTGACATGAAAGTCCCAGAATGACTACGTACCAGTGGAGGCAAACCTCTATTGCACCTCATCTCTTCAAAACCCTTACGCTTTGCAGTTATCAAGAACTACCATCTGCCAACGAGAACCCATATGACTGTGCAGAGAAACGGAAAAAAAAACGCTAGAGTTGGCCCCTACAAGCAGTTATGAGGATTTTTAGGTTTTGAGGATATAATATATATGTATATATATATATACGTTTTCATAGATGCATATATATAGAGCGCATGTGGCTCAGTGGTTAGAGATGCTATGCCCCGTACAAGAGGTCGATAGTTCGACCTTACGCTCATGGCTCTCTGAGAATCCATCCCGCCGGGGTCGATAATTTGTCTTAGAATTGTATGGGAGGATAGACAGCACTGAGTTGATACAGCGTTAGGCCACCGTGAGTTATTGTAAAGGCCAGATTTGCATCCGATTACCTCAAACGAAGCAAGAATTGAAGAAGAATGAGTGGCGCATTCGTTAGGGATTGATCAACGCCAAAATCTTAGAGCTTTTATCTTCATCCTTGTACACCTTGAAGGCGAAGACGTCGCGACGTCAACCTAGTAGAAATTGCATCAAAAACCTCGCTTTACACACTTAATTCAGCAGAAAAGAAACTTCTTTCTCTATCCCCGTCTACAATTTTGAGGATATTTTAATATTCAAACATCTTTTTTTTTCAAAATGCATCGTGTCAGGCTTATGCAGGATAGAACGAGTTAAAAAGGAACGTGTCGGGATTACTTGAAAGAAAATTATGCTCTTAGCAATTATAGGTCCACTAGCTGTTCAAGAAGTGATAAAAATTCGAATACTGTATTTCCTGTTGAGTAATTGGGCAACTGCTGCATAGTGCGATAGAAAAAAAAACCACGAAAATACAGATCGGTAATGATCAAAATTTCTTTACCAAACGAATAAAAGTAGATGTCCACAAGGAGCAGACGCAAGACTACAAGATTTTGGGTATGAAACTGCGGAAAAGTCCTCCTGAAAGTGAACGAGGCCGTTGCATTTCGATACTTTGAATCTTTTGATAATTGGACGAAGGCATTTGAAGACTGTTGAAGTTAAAGAAACGTAGGGAAAAATCACGACAGAAATGCTGAAAAATCTAAGAACGAATTATGAGAAGGATGAAGTGGACGGTTAGGAGCGGGCGGACGCGACGACGATCGCCGGCTAAAATGGTGCTCGTGATCGATGAGGGGCGTGGCCCTTGGATCCGTTGATCTACCCGCCTCCGAACTTAAGCTTTCCGATTTTTCTCCAGTCGACTACCCCACCTTACTAGAAACTAACAATGTATTGTACATTACTGGTACACCAAATGTAGACATCAAAAACGGGAAAGAGGAGAGGGAAAAAGTTTAGACCAGGTAGATCAAGCATCTGGTTGTACTATACAGCGAATCGATCGTCGTACACGATGTTCAGCCGGATGGAGAGATTTCAGGATGGCAGTTCGGGATGACTGATAATTGTAAACAAGGTCTCTACAGTTTCATTCTCGATTCCGGTCTTCCGGAGAAGGAAAGCACTGTGTGTGGATCATATCGATCGATGGCTGACGACACACGACACCGCGACGGACAATCGGATGGCCGTGGACGATGAAATCTTCAGAGATTGACTCCAGCTGGTAAGGTGTCACACATTCGTGACCACCAGCCAATCAACACAGGTTGGCGAACGCTTCGGCTTTCGTCATATATATCAATGCTAGAGATTTCTGTTATTAGCGAGCCATTAGCATTTGAAGGTGTTTTAGAAAACGAGAATAGTGTATTTTCTCTTGCAAGCAGATGAGCAGCTTCTTCATGGTTTGAAGGAAAAGGCTGTTGAATATCGATTGGTAGATCAAAAACTTCAATCAAATGAACAGATGTAGATGTTTGCAACGAACAAATGCAAGACACCACTACAGTCCCAAAGTGAAAGTACTTGTGATAAGAAGAAGGCCGTTCCACAGGACTTTCAATGCTTTTTTCGCAGTGTTATGATGTCTCAAACAGACTTAAGAGAATTGAGTGCTGGGCAAAAACCCAACATCACACGGGAGTTGAACCCGTGTTTCACCCAAATCGGGTGTGTGCTACCACTACACCACAGAGGCACATAGCGCACACAAAGCAATTTCTCATAACCGACCACACCTGTTAAAGGTTGGTGGCACAAATGTGGCTCTGTGGTGTAGTGGTAGCACACGCCCCCGGTATGGGTGAGATGCGGGTTCAACTCCGGCCTGCAGTCGAATGTTTGCTCATCACTGAATTCTCTGATTTGAAAGTCTTCACATTTAATACATGGAATCTTCTGATAACTGAACGGAGCCCTTTGAAGAGTAGGAAGTGAATGAAACGTAGTTATAAAAACATGCTTACAATGTGAGGAGAGGGAGAGAGAGAGAGGAGAGTAGAATAAAGTAAAAGGGTGGGGGTGCACGGATTCGACGACGATCACTTGAGCTGCTCGCCATCGGTAATGGGACGCGATCTATGGAATCGCTGATCTACCCGCTTTCCTTCCACTTTCAACCAGTCGACCACCTTACCTTGAAAAGGTGAAGGATAAAGCTCTCGGCGTTGATCAACCTCTGAGGGATAGGTAACGCATTCGTCCTTAACTTTTATTTTGCCAGAGGTGATTGAACTCATGTCTGGTCTTAACAATGACTCGCGGTGACCTCGCGCTGTATTGAGTCAGTCCTGCTTATCCTGCCAAACAAGTCTAAGATCCGTCTCGTACCATTTAACCGACCCTCGAGGGATAGATGGCTTACTGAGTCATGAGCGCGACATCGAGCCATGGACTTTGTGTGCGACGTAGAGCATTTCTATCCACTGCGCCATGCGCTCCACTTTACTAGAAAATAATCTGTATTGTACATTACTGGTAAACCAAATGTAGACATCGACAACGGAAAGAGAAGAAAGAACAATTGTAGAGCGAACAGTTTGAACATTCTGCTCGTGTTATATAACGAATCTACCGTCGTAGATGTCTCGCAAATGGACAGATTTCAGGACGGTACTTCGGGGCATTTGACGAGTGTAAAGAAGTTCTACACAAATTCATACTCGAAACTTTTCTCCCGAAGAAGGAAAATACTGTATGTAGATCAGATCGATAGTGGCTAACGACACACGACAAGCAATCGGATGGCCGTGGGCAATGAAATCTGATGGAATGACTCCAGAGGGTACCGTTCAACAGATTCATGACCGTCAAAGCCAATCACAGCTTGGCGAACACTTCGGCTTTTGTTAAATATTGAGTTGGCAAGAAGTTTTCCGTACCTCCTCGTTTTCGCTCAAATTTCTTTAAGTTTAAGTTCTCGTTTTTGCTGTCGTTTAGAGCAGCTTCTTGCGGTTCTCTTGTTATATAACACCTACATGAGTAACGTCGCTTGGTAAAGCAGCACCACTTTAACGCGAACGATACTAGCGTAGCATCGGCAATGATTTTTGCTCTTGAGACAATTTCATTTTGAAATAGATGTGTAAGTCTCATAATCATTATCTGAGCCATGCAAGTGGTTTTGTATAAAGCAACTAAGAGCCCGACACAGGTGTTTCGGCCTCCCCTTGCGTGTGGCCTTATGGGAATACTCGAAAGGAAAGGTATGATATACTTGACGATATCAGCCAAGAGCGATCGAGTGTAAAACACTATCCATTCAGTGATAATTTCACTTAATGGCACGTGTAGAGCAAGTTCTTCTGCACCAACTCTACACAGGGGTCGGGTTCTCCCGAGAGGGACCAGCTGAATAAAGACGAAGGGTAGTGCCCGTCTGACGTGGCTGTCAAGGCCGAAACGCGTGTATCGGACTCTATAAGTTGCATATATACCTGAGAGAATCAAGTGGTGAGCAAAACTGCGGTCTCACACGGGAGTCGAACCCGCGTTTCGTCCATACCGGGGCGAGTGGTACCACTGCACCACCGAAGCACATTTGCGCCACCACTCATTCCTCAACATCTCTATGTTAGCTATCAGCCCCCAACGTCTAACAGGTTTGGTTGTAAATGCAATTTCGCTTCATAAACCCAGTTGAGCTGACAGCCACTGTTAGATGTAATACTTCTAAACTCTGATATTTCTACTGCTTTTTTTCGCATTGTTATGATGTTACATATATACCTAAGAGAACCGAGTGGTGAGCAAAAATACAGACTCAGACGGGAGTGAACGTTTATGAAGCAAAATGGCAACCCAACCAAACCCGGTTAGAGGTTGGTAGGTGATAGCTAACATAGAGATGTTGAAGAATGAGTGGTGGCGCAGATGTGCCTCGATGGTGTGTAGTGGTAGCATGCGTCCTCCGTACGGATCAAACGCGGGTTCGACTCCCGTGTGAGGCCATAGTTTTGCCCACTACTCAGTTGTCTTAGGTATATATGTAACATCATAACACTGGAAAAAAAGCAGCAAAAACATTAGTATTCCAGAGTATTACATCTATAAGTTGCTCTATAGCAGACCACATGCATGGGAAACACTCGAAACGAAATGTATAAGTGTTATATATAAGAATAACCTCAAGAAACTGCTCTAAACGATTGCATAGATGAACTGAAATGCATGAAAAGCAGTCAACAAAAACGAAAAAGTCCGGAAAATTCATTGCCAACCCAGTATGTCAATACCAGAAACTAACGTTGATAGCGGCTATAGGGCTACTACCACTACACGATTTATTGGAAAATGAGAACAGTGTATTTTCTCTTACGAGCAAATGAGCAACTTCTGCATGATTTGAAGGTGAAAGACATCAAAACGTTGCCTGGTAGATCAAAAAGCCCGCGAAGCAGATGTCTGCGACGCACAGATGCAATACACTACAACAGTTCGAGTGTGAAAATGTGGAAATCCTTCCGACGTGAAGAAGGCCGTTACATCTCAATACTTCAAAAATTTCAGTGATTGAAGGGAGACGTTTGAGGAGTGCGAAAGTGAAAGAAATGCCGGTAAAACCAGGACAGAAATGCCTGAAATAACAGCAGCAAGTCATGTAAGAAAAGTAAAATCTATTCTTAGGAATGCACGGACTGGGCGACGATCGCTGACAAAGGTGTTAGTTGCGATCGATGAAGGGGCGTGATCGACAGACTCGTTGATCTACCCACCTTCCTTTCGCTTTTCGATTTTTGCGATCGACTACTTTACTTTACTGGGAAATTACAATGTATTGGACACTACAGAGGCACACGCAGGCATCGCTAGCACGAAGAGGAGAAGCTAAGAATATTATTAAGACTATGGAGCTTTCGGTGTTGATAAACCCCTGAGGACTGTGAAGTACATACTGCAGAAATGATTCTGTATGGTATGATTTTATTCCTGAACATATACTAAAATTGGAACAATACAGAGAAGATTAGCATGGCCCCTGTGCAAGGATGACACGCAAATTCGTGAAGCGTTCCAAAATTTTTTTTAACCACGGACCTCCCTTTTTGAGGGATCCCGTCCGGTTAGTCGCGAGGGCACGTGGCGCGTCCCCAGGTGGTGGATAGGGTATAAAACGCGAACCAAAAGCGACCGTGTGCTTCCCAGAGACGCAGGTGGATTCAGGGGACGAGCTCCCTGCTTCTGCAGCGCCGACTTGACAAAAACTCTATTTCTACGAGTCAAGTCGGCCAAAAGCCTGCAATCAAGCGGCTGGGAAGTACATGGGAGGCGGTTAGGACTCGCCTCCAACAAATAAGCTCCTCCCGCTCCTCCGAGAGAGACTGGCAAGCTACTCGTGAGTACCCAGCCCCACGTTTAGAGTCTGGCAGGCTACACGTTGGGTATCAAAATGCCAAAAACAGTAACAAATATGGGCCTCATTCCCCTGACCCCGAAAGAGCCCCTGGTACGGCAGCGCCAGGTAGGACGAGTACGGAGAGGCTGCTAAAATCTCAGGGCCGAACTAGGCTGCCAAGATCGAAACGGACTAAAATGACGATCTTTTCCTACAACGCAAGAACCCTTGCTCACGAATCCGCAGTAGAAGATCTATTGATTCAAGCAAGAAGATAAGATACGACGTCATTGGCCTGGCTGAGACGAGAAGGCGCCATCCTTTTCACGCTGTTTATGACACTGGAGAAGAACTGTTCCTTGGAACATGCGATCGCAGAGGTGTCGGCGGCGTTGGCGTCCTCGTCAAATCGAATTTGACCGTGAGCATTGATTCGTTCGAATAACTAACAACCCGTATCGGACGATTACGGTTGAAACGATGTGGTTCTATGCCGGCTTTGACCATCTTCGTTGCTTACGCACCAACATCAAGCTATGACGAAGACGAAGTCGAAGCGTTCTATATGGACCTCGAAAAATTCTTCAGAGAAGATCATACATTCTTCAAGGTCATTGTCGGAGATTTTAACGCAAAAATTGGACCTAGAAGAACGTCTGAAGAACGTCACATAGGGACCCACGGACTAGAATGGAATGAACAGGGTGAGAGGCTATCCGAGTTTATCATGACGACCCAAACCATCCATGGTAACTCGCAATTCCACAAGCCTCTCTCTCAGCGATGGACGTGGGAGTCTCCCAATGGAGAGTACCATAACGAAATAGATCACATCATAGTAAATTGAAGGTTTTGCCTGACCGACGTCGCTGTCGTTCCCAAGTTCTACACGGGATCAGACCATCGCCTCCTTCGCGCAACGTTCCGATTTTCGAGGAGAGGAGAGAAAGCCACTAAATTCAAACAACGAAGTCCCAGAACTACCATAAACTGGGATGTATTCAAATCATTAGTCGGCTCTTGGGAAGATGCCGTTGTCGACAACATCGACGAAGAATACGAACGACTCGTTGAATATCTTCAGGTTAGCGCTATAAAAGCCGAGAGTCCTAGGTCACGAAGAGACGCTTGTCTCCGCAGACACTCGAGCTGATACGTCAACGTGGAATCAGCACGAGCTGCAGGCAACCGAAACCTTACGTCCGAACTTGCGAAACGCTGCAGAGAAGCGATAAAAGAAGACCTCAAAGAGAGAAGAGCAGCACTAATGGCAGAAGCTGCAGAAGCTGGGAAGAGCATTCGCAAAGCCCAGCGAGGCTTCGCCAACTATAAGACCAAGATGATTGCACTCCGATACCCTGACGGGACACTTACAGCTTCGAGAAGGGCTATGGAGAAAATCATCCACCAATACTACTAGGATCCCTCCGCTAGCCATGTCCTCTTACCGTCATATAAATTGAAAGAGGACGAATATGTCGTTCCACCGGTCCTCCCTTCCGAAATCCGACATGCTATATCGTCGGTGAAAAACAGAACAACACCCTGTCCAGACAGGATTAGACCAGAACACCTGAAGAACCTGCCGCCAGTTCTCATCAACACCGTGGCTCGGCTCTTCACTCGCTACTTGTCAGAATGCAAGGTCCCTATTCAGTGGAAAACCAGCAAGACCGTATTGTTGTTCAAAAAGGGAGACCTTCACGACATAGGCAATTATCGCCCAATCTGCTTGCTGTCCGTTGTCTATAAACCCTTTACTCGAGTCATCCTAAACAGGAATGATAGAACACTGGACGAAGGACAGCCATGCGAACAAGCACGGTTCCGAAAAGGATTTAGTACCATGGACCATATCCACACGATTAGAAGACTCATCGAAGTTTCACGAGAGTACAAACAACCACTCTGTCTCACTTTCATCGATCTGGAGAAAGCCTTTGATTCAGTGGAAACAGAAGCGCTTATATAGGCTCTGGATACCCAGGGCGTCCCTACTCGGTACATTATGATCCTTCGTGAGCTTTATAAAGATTTCACGACCAGAATATCTCCATTCTACAACAATATCACCATTGACGTAAGAAGAGGGGTTCGACAAGGCGATACAATATCGCCAAAACTATTCACTGCCACCCTACAAAACGTCATGCGAACATTAGAATGGGACGAAATGGGAGTGAAAATTGACGGTCGACAATTAAACCATCTTCGCTTTGCTGACGAAATCGTTCTCATAACACCAAACATCAGCCAAGCAGAACGAATGTTGACTGATTTCGATAACGCCTGTGGAAAGATTGGTCATCAACTGAATCTAACGAAAACAATGTTCATGAGGAACGGATGGGTTTCTAATGCCCCATTCACGCTCAACGGAACGACAATTTCCGAATGCTCCAGTTACATCTATCTAGGTCGTGGAATCAACATGATGAACGACCTAGCTTAAGAGTTGAGCAGAGGAAACGAGCGGCTTGGGGAACGTTTAAGAGCATCGAAGATGTAGTGAAGAGGACAAAGAACATCCGACTCCGTGCCACCTTTTCGACTCGACAATTATCCCTGCCCTAACGTATGCAGCAGAAACCTGGTCGCTACGTAAGCAGGATGAAAGATCACTTGGAGTTATCGAACGCGCAGTCGAAAGGTCGATGCTAGGAGTATCCCGTATTTCGCAAATGAGACAAAGGATCCGAAGTTCCGACCTACGTCAACGATCGAAAATCAGAGACGCCGTTCACGCCAGGATATCGAAAATAAGGTGGGCCGGACACGTGATGCGCTTCAACGACAACCGATGGACGAGAGCCGTTACCGACTGGATTCCTCGGGACGTCAAGCGCTCTAAAGGAAGACCACTGACCCGTTGGTCCGATTTCTTCGCGAAAGCGATAGAAGAAAGATATGATGCTCAGCGAATCCCTAGAGCGAGGAGAACCCACTGGGCTACTCTTGCACGCGATAGGGAAAAATGGAAGAGTTGCTGGTACCTGCTCAAGTCACTCGACGATCAACGGGACGACAGGTGACACAGGTGAAACCTCTGAGAAACGCGTTGTACATTACTCTTTAAATTTTAGCTTTGTATCGTCTAGACATACGCGGTTTGACCTCACGGAGTCGTGGTGGAGGAAAGGGACGGGGGTGGGGTTCGTGAGCCATGAGCGCGGGATCGAACCATCGGCGTCGTGTGCGACGCATAGTTCCCCTAATCACGGCGCCGCACACGTTCTAGGAAACAGTAAGGACGGTTCTTTCTGATTATAAGGGAACAAATGATTTATCGATCTCATTCGCTAAGGAGGAACTTTACATAACAGTGCTGGTTACCAATCGAAAGCTGAGACTTGAGACTACCGCCCCACGTCGCCAGTTTTTCAAAGCACCCTTTTACAAGTTGTAGCATCCAGATCAATATTTATGTTTCCTACTCGTTATTGATGTTGCTCAAATCAATATGTAATCTGATAACATATATTAAACCTGTAATGAAGCTTGTTATGGCACTAATACAGTGCCAAACACGTGTTTCGGCATTTCAGTCTCATCAGTAGCGTGATGCCTTTTGAATCAGCCGAATGCAAAGGTATCACCACTTTACCAGCCATGGGC